CTCTGCATATGGCTCCCGGGGTCTCACCAAGGCCATGAGGCTTTGCAGCTAGCACCTGTACCCACTGAGCCGTCTGTCTAGCCTGCAGTTGACTTTTGATGGGGGTGCCAAGGCATTTCAAGGAGGAAAGGGCCATCGTTTCAACAAACAGTCTTGGAGAAACTGAGCACCCATGTGCAAAAGGACAAAGTGGCACAGTTACTTGATATCATATTAAAAAAATAATTCTAAAGGGATCAGAGGCCTACATGTAGTTTAGTAAAAAACAAAACAGTATCTGTGAAAAGCCTCAGGAGTCTAGAATTGGCAGGGGTTTCTTGGATACAACACTATAAGGAGAGGGAACAAAAGGAAAAATAGATAAAGCGACTAAGTCAGATGAGAGATAGCTCTGCATCTATGGGCACGGCTGGAAGAGTGGAGAAGCAGCATGTGGAACGAGAAGATACCTGCTCTCGTGTATCAAATAAAAGGGAATGGTCCAGGGTTTATAGAGAGAGAAGATACCTGCTCTCATGTATCAAATAAAAGGTAAAGGTCCAGGGTTTATAGAGAATTCCTACAGCCCAGCAACAGATTACCTGACTGTAAAGATGGGCAGAGGACCCAAGCAGACCTTTCCCCAGAGACTGTAACGAACCACTCAATAGCAAGGAAAAAGCTGCTGGGCTTCAGAAAATGCAAATAAATAGCCCAGGAAGATAGCACCTCACACCTAGTGGGATGGCTGCTATGACAGACAGTAGAAAGTTACAAAGGTAGGGTAGGATGTGGGGAGATTGCTGCTGGGGACAGAACTCAGGATAGAGTATTTGCCTAACGTGCACCGTGGTTCAATTCTCAGTGCTGTGAATAAGATAGATGATAGATAGATAGATAGATAGATAGATAGATAGATAGATAGATAGATAGATGATAGACAGATAGATAGATAGATAGATAGACAGACAGACAGACAGACAGATGAACAAACAGAGGGGTGGGTAAGTGTGTACATACATACATATGTACATACGTACATACATATATGGACAAAGGAAACAAAAACTTGTGTATTGCTAATGGGAGAGGACCGTCGTGGTACCACCACTGTAGCAAACGGTATACTAGTGCACCATAAAAGCATAGAATCACTTTGTGCCCAGCAGTTCTGCTTCTCTATATTCACCAAGACAGAATCAAAAACAAAGTCATGCAGAGATGTTCTTAGGCCTGTTTGTTGAGTTTGCTAGGGCCATCACAACGAAGGATAATTGTGGATTGCTCTTAGCCCCCCCCTCTTCCCCTTTTTTCTCCCTCTCTCCCCCTCTTTCTCCCTCTCCCCGCTCCTTGTTTTCTGCCTGGTCCTCACGTGTTTATCCACCTGTGTGTGTCCATGTCCTGATGGCTCCCTTAGTATACCTGTCCTATTAGATTGGCACTCATGATAATGATCTCGATTTGGTTTAATTACATCTTTAAAGAGCCCACCTTCAAACAGCTCCTTTCTGAAGTCTTGGGAGTCAAGATTTCAACTTGTGAACTGGGGGTGAGCCAAAGACTGGAGCATTCCCATTGCCCATCTACTTATAGATGAAATAAACAAAATGTGGTCTGCCATAAACTGGAAAGAATTCAGCTTTAAAGAGGAAAGAGATTCTGATGCACCTATGACACTCGGTGACCCTTGAGGACCGTGCTAGCTGAAATGAGCCAGCCACAGGCAGACAACAGCCTTTTCATCTTCTGCAGATCCCAGAGTTGTCAGATCGATAGAGATGAGAGCTAGAGAGGGTTTTGCTGGGGTTTGGGAGGGAGGGATGTAGGTTTGGTGCTGATGATTACAGAGTTTCTTATTAGAGAGCTGAACAGTTTCTGGAAATAGATGTTGAGATCAACTTGTGCCCTGCCCTTGGTCACTCCATGTTGTGTAGAACAATGGTTCTCAGGCAGCGCCTCTTCCTGAGAGACTCCATTTTACAGGCTGCTATTGACTCCATTTTAAGGGTGGAAAGTGATTCCACAACTCTGTGGGCGTGTAAACAACACCATCTGTCCAGTCCCACCCACAACACAGACTGATAAATGACAGATTCCTAAAATTCATACCACCCTATCAATTTATCAAAGTAAATTGAGTCCACATCAGCACACAAGAGTATTAAAACCCTCTCAGGAAAGCCAGGTGTGAGAACTCATCCAACACACCAAACTGAGGGAAAGCTGTGACCTCCTCACCCAGCTCCCAAGAGGGATATGGTCCCACTAAGATGTCATCTGACCGGGTGAGGTGCATGTATGCATGTCTGTGTTCCTTTTCTATTGCTGTGTTGAAGCACCATGACCCAGGCAACTTAAAGAAGCAAGAGTTCACGTGGGCTCATTGCTCCAGAGGTTAGGGGTCTGTTATGGTGGGGAGACGTAGTGACAAGGAGTCGACATGGTGGCAGGATCAGGAAGCAGAGTTCATACCTTGAACCAAAGTGTGAAGCAGAGAGAGCAACTCAAAATGGCTGGAGCTCTTAAACTCTCAAAGCGGTCCCCTGGGATGTGCTTCACCAGCAGCACCACGCCTCCTAAATCTCCCAAAGGCCATCACCAACAACTTAGCACCAAGTGTTCAAATACATGAGCCTATGGGGCATTTTGTTCAAACCGTGTGTGTGTGTGTGTGTGTGTGTGTGAGAGAGAGAGAGAGACAGAGACAGAGACAGAGACAGAGACAGAGAGAGACAGAGAGAGGCAGACAGAGGCAGAGGCAGAGGCAGAGGGAGGCAGGCAGAGAACTCACAGTTGTCTAAGACTTCAGCTTGGGTTGGTCCCTGCTTTGATGAAGCATTTCTGTGTCTGGACCTAGTTCTTCTGCCTTTGTTGCTAAAGCCCCTATGCCTCACTTCTGCAGCTTGACTCAGCTCTGAGGCTCAGCTCAACTCTGACTATGTGGCTTGGCTGGAGTCCGCAAAGGCTGCCTCTGGCTGGGTTCAGACCTGACCTAACCTCTTTCACCGCCTCTCTTCGCACCCTTGTCAGCAAGGCCTCTTTGAAACTCCTTGAACTCTGTCGGCCTCCTGAACCCTATGTAGTCATTCTGTCCCCTACATGTATATGTGCACACAGATCTCTCTACTGTGGGATACACAATGTGTGAGCTGAGAGTTAATATTAGCAGTTAGGATTGGAATAAAAGAACCCGTGTTTGCCTCAGCTGGCTATGGAGGAAATGGGGACTTCTTACAAATTCCAGCCCAGGAAGCGGAAAGAGCTAGTGAGTTAATTGTTGCTCAGTAAACGCCGACTTGGTAGGAAATCGTGTTCATGCCTATATGTTTCTGACACCACACACTCACGACAGTTGTAGTAATGGATGTAAAATGATGCAAGGATGCTTAACTGCCACTGAATTATAGACGTAAAGATGGTTATTTTTAAGTAACCATGGATAGGGCGGGCTTAGTGGTACAGTGCATATATATGACCCTGGGTTCATTTCAGCACGACACACACAAACAGACCCAATGATAATTTTTATTGTATATATTTTATTCCAATTATTTTTAATAAACAAAAATGAAACGTTAAGGATAATGATTTCTGTAGACTTGAGGGTGGCCAGGTGGTCCCATCTAGTGTGTAGACATTTTCCAAGACCACATGCAGGGCACAGGAAGAGCAGGACTGGCGAGGCAAGGTAGTGCTTCTGCCTTACACCTGACTCAGCGATGAGCTACCCGCCCCTCCCATTCTGCGTTAGAGTCCTGTGATGGTTAGTGCCAACTGTCAATTTGGCTGGATTGGGTTCACTGAAGCCCCATCTTAACTGTGGGCAGACCATTCCCTGGGTGAGTTGAGCACACATAAAACTTGCTTTGTATGACTCTCCATCCCTGATGATGGGTGTGTGCGACCAGCCGCGTCACGGTCCTGCTGCCTCAGCTTCCCTGATGGCTGTACCCAAACTGTGAACCAGAAGAAGCTCATTCTCGCTGAAGTTACTTTTGTCTGGGCATTTGACCACAGCAATAGGAAAAGCAGCTAATGCAGTCCCACTCCCATTCATCACCGCCGCTATCATAAGCTCCCTCTGTTGCTCCAATACCACCCACGAGTGTGATCCTCTTTCCAGGAGACACCCTTTCTTGGACCACTTCAAAGAAGCCTCATGTTTCATGTCAAGTGAGAAAGTCCTGTCCATCAGCCGCTGCCCAAATCATCCCCAGATAGGCCACTATGCTTTCAGCCTGCCTGCCTTGACTCTTATTTTTTATCCCTTTGGTCTGTGTCTTTGTCTTCTTTCTGGCTTGCTGGGGGATGGGAGGGGGCTGTTGTTGGGCATTTGGCTTGATGTTATGGAAGGAAATGGAGATGCAGGTGGGCATCAGCTATGCTACTGGAGTTGTTAGGGCTGGCAACTGAGCCTGGCATCCGTAGCCTAGGCTCAGACCTTCTTCTGTATGCCAGCCAAATAGACAAGCAATAGTATAAAGCAGAAAAGATTTCATCCAGTGTGGTCACATAATGAAGAAGAATGAAGAGGCCCAGTGACCCCCTCCCCTTGCCCTCTAAGGCCATCTTCTGAGTCTTGGCATGAGATCAAGATTTAAATGCAGGGCGAGAGTTTCGCCTAAGTTAGCACCCTGGCTAAGGTGTAGTCCGCCCATCATTAACCCATCCTTGTCTCTTGACTCCAGTGTGTTTTGCAAGGTGGTCTGACGGCTTGTCAGAATGGGATGAAATCTCTTGTGATAAGGTTGGCACCAAGCTCTGTAGCCTTCTCCTCAGGAGTCCGGGATTCCTGAAGAAATACCATTTCTCACTTCCATTGTTTCAATAGTCTGGTAGCCCAAAGGAGGAACACAGTAACTCTTTAGAATATTTCATTCCTACAAGACTCCCTACAATAGCGTCTCCCTCCTGCCTGGTCCTTAGGAGGACCCTTGGCGAGGGTGGTGCTACCCTCCTCGAGCGTGCGCACCTGCCCCAAGGAGCCACAACCTTGACTTTGTGCTCTCTCTTCCTCCCAGGACCTGAGCTCCTTTGCCATGCCACTCCTGGATGGAGATGTGGAGAATTCGGAAAAACACTCTTCTCGGAAGGTGAGACTCCCCTTTCCAAAGCCGCTTGGTACCGTCCCCTCTCACCCAAATTGCCCCAAGGCAGGCAGAGTTTGAGACACCCTTCTGGCTTACTTCTGTGGGGCTCACACCAGCATGTGGGTTGGCTGGGGCTGAATCATCCTGAGACAGCTCGCCTCACAGGGCCATGCCTCCTAAGTTACTGGCTGCTCTGATTCCGAGTCCTCTGGGCTTTGCTCCTCCCCTGTCCCTTGCTGTGGAAGCTGCCATCACCAGTGTCCCCCAGAGTGGGAGGACGCAAAAGAGGGAGACAGACAGTGAGCCGAGCCGGGATGCTGACCAGCAGAGATGAGGCCGAAAGCAGTGAAGTCGAGGCTAGCTGTGTTCTTTAGCATTTTCATCTCCACAGACACCCACTGTGCCCATGGACTTTGGGATGAGGTAATCTCTCTCTCCTCTGGCCCGTTCCTCATCACATCCATTTGCCCCTCTCTCTTTAACTCTTTGCCCCCACTACTCCCTCATAGCTTAGTTTTTTCTACCATCAAGAAAGCATGACATAGCCAAGGCTATTAGCAATACAGAGCCAGGCCAGGAGTGAGGGATGAGGTGGCGGTGGTGGCAGGTGAGGGGTTACAATGACCATCAAAGAAGGGGGGTCAAGGCAGGCTTGCTGGTTTCCCCTGAAGTTGGGCATCCTATCACCCACTGACCCAAGCACAAAAATGATCATAGGGAGGGGCTGCAACATCTCTGAGTGACTTCTGGGTGCTCTCCAGCCTGGGATCAGGGCATGACTTCCCATCCTGGAAAAAGGGAGTCTATTCTCGGAGCGTTTGAATCACATACAATTGAATCAACAAATTGGTTTAGGTCTATGGGGCTCACTTGGCAGTCAGTCCCCTGCCCCACCCTGCCCTACCCAAACAACCTTATTAGCGTTACTGTGGCCCAGCCAGAAATACTGTCAGAAAATGGCCTGGGGCCTGGGCTGGCAGGCGCCACCCCACTCAGTGCCTGTAGCGTAGCCAGGCCAAGTTCTCTGGGCCTCTGCATGGAAAATCCAATAGGAGCTAAGGCTGAGGCAGAAATGCTTCAAGGGAGGTGGGGCTTTCCTGGTGGCCCCAGAAGTCCAGAGAGAGGCTCTGGTTATCACTAAAAGTCAGCTGAAAGGGAAAGGTCATGGAGGTATTCTTGCCTTCCTCCGACATTTGCTCAGAATTAGCCTCACCCATCCTATGGGCCTGGTGAAGGACCATGCCCAGGAGGAGGGGCTTGTCTTACAGCAGCAGTGCAGTCAGATGCTGGAGAGGGCTGGGGGCTCTAGAGCATGCTCCTCTCCTACATAGGCAGTCTCCAGATACAGCTTGGAGGCAGGGTCTCTCCTGGTAAGCTTTGTGTGAGGGAAAGAGGCGCTAGTGCCAGGAGCTAGTAGCTCCCATGGGCATTGCAGCCTAGTGCCCCTACCTCCCAGAGAGCAACACCTCCTGGACCTGGGGATACCTGCAATGCTACTATCTCACAGCCCTTGAGAATCTCTAGTTCTGGTGACAGTCAAGAAGACCTTTTTGGAAGACAGCGAGGTGACAGGCATCTAGAAAATTTTCCATTTTTACCCCTGAAAGGCATGTCACTGGCCCTACTCAGTTCTTCACGACATTGGCCTTGCTCCAAATGGAAACACAAGAAAGAACCTCAGTTAGATTTCTACTTATGTCAGGCCCTTTCCTGAGGCCATGATGGCAGAGGCCCAAGGTGAATGAGGGATGCTACTTTCGTGGCAGAAGGACATTAGTGAGGGAACGGGTAGACCAGAGGAAGACAGGGCAGTGGAAAGCGTGACATATCTACCCTCAGAAACCACAGTGGATGCAAGAGGCTCTCCCTGTGAGAGGCACGACCTGAGTCCAGGTTGCTTAGTGCTAGTTCAGTGTGTTCCCCACTGTCGCTTAATATCCTGAACCTCAGGCTTGGGGGACTGCCAGTCAGGGAAGTGTCCTAAGCAGGACACATCCCATACCAGTGATCTTGACTACCCAAGGTGTCCATCTGGGCACATTATCAATAGGGAAATGGGACTCCCATGTCTCCTCTTCCTTGTACCCTGTCCCTGAAAGGGACAGTTCTCTGTTGTCGTGACCTATCTCTGCATGGCGCTCTGGTCAGCCGACTGTGTGGCTCTAGTATATAACTAACGTCAGAACTAGCTGAGAAGAATCCGCCGCACCGCGGTGACTCATCAGCCAGGGAGTCCGTGGAATGGTCCAGCACACATTCAGCTAATGACTGGACTTCCTCTCCATACATCCATCTATCCAGTCACTGCCCGGCAGCTCTCTGATTCCTAGCAGTCTACGTGTGGCCTTAGATGAGACAGTCTCTCTTCGAACACACCTCCAGGGTCAGGAATTGTGCCTGCCAAAATGATTAAGGATTAGGCGGCACCATTAAGGAACAGGTGCAGAAGGTGTCTGCGGCCCAGCAGGTGCTAGCAGGGCAGGTCTGGGGATGCAAGTGGCAGTCAGCACCAGCAGTGCACGTGTGACTCTACAGGATAGAGCGCCACGCATCGTTCACTTGCTCACAGGGAGTGTTCCACTAGGCAAGGCTGCAGACATCTCTTGTTTTCTGCCCACTGCTGGCTGAAGACCGATGTCAGATCCTCGCTGGAGATCAGCCACGGGGGAGTCCTGGAAGCTCAGTGCAGCTGCCCCACCTTCAGCTCTCCCAGCCTGAGCAGCTGGGCTCCTCACTGGGTTCCAAGGCTGGCCCTTGGGTCTCCCGGCTTTGGACTTCTGCTCCTCAACTGTCTTCCTGGCTCCTTTAACTTCTGTTCTCTGCCTTTCCATCCATCTCCAAGAGTATGGATGCCCTGCCTTGCTAATCCCTCCTGGTCGGTCCTGAAGCCAGCCCCCACTAGGCTCCTTCTTACTTTCTCACCTAGTGCCTCCTCTTGTGTTTGGTAGAAAGGCAAGTCCAGCGAAGACCAGAGCAGGAGCTGGCTCTCATCTCAGTGGCTCCCTGACAAACATGGAATTTGCCCTGTCTGGGAAACTCTGCCTTCAAGAGCCCAAGTACCTCCTCTGCATTAGCTGCTGTGAAGCCAGGCACACACAGGGGAGTCTCACCCATACTCAGAGAACCATCAAGTTATGTTATCTGAGTATCATTTTGCTTCAGCTAGCCTAATAGCCTGGGCATGGCCATCCCTGGTGACTCTAGAGGCGCCCATGGTCTGCTGTTCCCTGCCAGCCTCTTTCAGGAAACAGGCAGGGAAGGATAGGATCTGCAGGGGCAGGTCTCTGTAGGAGAGTCCAGGCAGGGCTGAACCTCCTCTGTTCTTTGGCCATTTTTAGGGGAAGAAATAGAAGGTCTGTTTTCTGGGGCTTCCTTCTCTGTCTGAAGACTGAGTTTCTAACTCTTAGGGTCCTGTAGTTCTGAATGTAGAATGGATCCTCCATCAGTGAGGTCTTGGGCAATCCCTTGCCAATCAAAAAAGATTCAAGTCTTTTATGGCATTTAGCTCAACTTCTCCTTTGAGTTCCTGGGTAGATCAAATGTTAGCCTCTGTATCTGAAACCTGGCTCCTTCTCAAATCCCACCCCGGAATGCCTCCTCTCCCTTTCCCATAATCCTGTCCAAAGCCATGCAGACTTCAGGGTCTTCTTTTATCTGGGGTCCCCATTATGGGTGGTTTTGCCTGCCCTGAGCATCCCTTTGTCTGCTTCACACTGCTGGCATTTCACCTTGTTCTGTGATCTCCTGGGAGGCCTACTTCTTCCCTGTCTACCTTTGTCTTCTCTCTAGAACTGAATGCTGGCATTTTCCTGGTACACCACCTCGTCATCAGGTCAAGTTCAAGTGCAGGGCAAGCTACACAGTATAGTAGGAGGAGCGCCATGGGCCAGTCTTCCGGGACTCCAAAGGGGACTCCCTCTCTGGCCTTTCTCCCTGACTTTGCCTCTTTGGTCCCCTGGACATTTTTATAATCTTACTAGGAGATGTGTAGTATCAAGGTTAAAGCTGCAAGCCTTGAGGTCAGAACACCCATCAGCTTTATGATGCCCACTGTGGCCCCAGTCAACACCTTCTGCTATTAGACGCGGTGGCATCCAGGGATAAAGAATGGCGAACCTCATATACACGTGAAGTCAGTGCCTACCTGGCTCTGGAGTCACATGGTCTCCCGCAGTCAGGGAGCAGATCCAAGTACCATGTAGCTCTCATAACTAAGCTTTTCCTGAAACTCAGCCTTCCTTCTTTTCCAGCCTACAAGTCCCTCTCCATTAAGGACCTTTTAAAACACAATGCTGCTGGTGGTCAGACATGTATGTGTACCAGGAACCATGCTAAACATCCCCCTGTGTATAACACAGCAAGTCATCTTTGCAGCCCATGAAGCAGTCCAGCATCCCCAGTGTGTAGAGGAGGGCCAGATGCAGAGGGCCCAGCTCACTCACCCATCCCTCCACACCGATGGTGCAGGACTCAGACTCAGGTCTCTGTCCAAATCCTTGCTCACTCTGTCACCTTCTGCTTCCTGTATGTATGGTCTCTACTGCAGGTGAGGGTCTCTTGGCTCCCTGTTTCTTACCCCAGGGCAACCCACCCACTACCCGAAGAACCTCTTGCTTTAAAAATTATTCTCAGAAGTGATCCTGAATCCCACAGGCAAATGGGTTGGTGGCTAAAGTACAGAGGCAAGGAGTCTCACTGATTTTCGTAACTAGTAGTAGGGGAGTTGATTGGAACTAATTTTTAAAAGCATGTTTAATGGTTTATTCATTTGTATTTTATGTGCATTGGTGTTTTGCCTGCCTGCATGTCTATGTGAGGGTGTCAGATCCCCCGGAACTGGAGTTACAGACAGTTTTGAACTACATGTGGGTGCTAGGAATTGAACCTTGGACCTTTGGAAGAGTAGCTAGTGCTCTTAACCACTAAGCCATCTCTCCAGCTCCTGAACTATTTTCTATGGAGGTGACTCAATTATAAGATCCTGGTCACACACCAGTCTCTGCCTCTGAAGTCATTCAGGAAGGAGTTGGCACCAAGTGGGTCCCGCACCTCCATATGACGGCATTAGGGTCAGGTGGAGAGTCACGTGGAGAGGTACTCTCTGGAGACTGATGGTCTCTGAAGGGGCATCCCCTCGAGGGCATCAGTCCTTGAGATGCACGATACTGGGAGCTCAGGAGCACCCTCTACTGGTGAATTCATGCAATACTTTGGGGACTCTCCTTAGCATGGCCCTGGTTACCAGTGTGCTTTGACCCCTGCCCCCTGAGCCTATGACAGTTACTTTCTTTTCTGTTGCTGATTTGGGGTCCCCTTGGGTTCCTTTGGCTCTAGTGTCACAATAGAAATAATAATAGTAATAATAATTATAGTAATAATGTGTCCATCACCACACATCACACCATTGCTGTGAATCAGTTCCTGTGTTAGTGACACCGTCTGAGCACTCGGACAACCCTCCAAGCTGAGGACTTGACTATCCTTATGTCACAAAGGAGAAAACAGAGGCAATAAGACCAAGGTGCTAATATATTGGTGACACGGTAATGGGGCAGAGCTGAGGTCAAAACCCAGCCTGCAAGAAGCAAGCTCCTAAATCCATTCACACGGCCAATACTGGATGGCTGTGAGATGGAGCCATGGCTTAAAGCCACGGGACCTGATAATTTTTAGAACTGGGGCTGTGTTTTCGAGTCGTCATTGAAGTCTGAGGTCTTGCTAGCATTTTCCTGACTTCTGCTGGTGACCTTAGCCATTCAAATGCCACAGTAGCTTGGAGTGAAATCTGTCCTCTCCTCATACCAGCATCTTCATCAATGAGCCCAAGGTCTGGCATGCATATTCTGGGTCACAGAGGCTTGTGCTTCTTCTCCTGGGGTGGGGTGGGGAGACAAAGAACCACAGTTGCGTCATCAGGTCTGAAGCAGGACGAGTGAAGAGCTTCAGCAACGGAAGCCGATACGGGAACAGTAGTCAGGAGAGGGAGGAGTGGTGCTAGGTCCCCTCTCCTCACCTTCATATCACCACCCCCCATCTAGGGCTCTGTTAGACAGTTACACAGGGTGACCGGGGGCTCCAGGACAGAAGCTGACCAGCCCAGAATTGAGCATCCATGGCATAGGTGCTGAGGTCTGGACCATTCCATTGCCCGCTCTGGAAGAGATCTCTGCTTGATGAGGGTATAAAGGAGCAATAAAGATATGTCTACTGCACGCAGCGTTCAGAGTGCCTGGAGCCTTGTGACCTCACCCATTTGTCTGTCTTTCTGCAGGTGGACAGTCCCTTTAGCTCAGGCAGCCCTTCCAGAGGACTCTTCTCCAGGGGCCCTCAGCCCCGGCCCTCCAGCCCTGTGTCTGCTCCCGTGAGGCCCAAGACAAGCCCTGGCTCTCCCAAAACTGTGTTCCCATTCTCCTACCAGGAATCCCCTCCGCGCTCGCCACGCCGCATGAGCTTCAGTGGGATCTTCCGCTCCTCATCCAAAGAGTCTTCGCCCAACTCCAACCCATCTACCTCTCCCGGGGGCATCAGGTTCTTCTCACGGTCCAGAAAAAGTAAGACATTGATGCTATGGTTTCAGGTGGGTGCCGGGCTATGAGGAACCTTCCCCATAGCCACTCAGCCAAATGGCATCAGAGCCACAAAGTAGCCACTGGTGACTGGGGCCTGAGTCGTGTCTTCATGTGCAGTGACTCCCATGTCCCCCTGCTGGTTTCTGTCTGCACTGTCCTCCAGAGTGGTGAACTTGGTGGTGTGAACTCAGTGGCATAAACTAGATACTTCCTGAGGTTCACAGTCTGATTTGGGAAATCAGATATTTGCTTCCAGTGCTCAGAATATGCCTGCCCCCAAGGTCAGTGTGCTGCCTGAGTATGGCTCTGGCCCCTGAGGTTTGGGGTCTAGGGACTTTGACTCTGTTTACAGAAGACCCTGAGTTTTTTCTCAGGGCGAGATGGATTGGCTGGAGAAACACGGAGGAAATATGTGTGTTGGAGTGAGAGCATCCTTTTGATTCATAAATTGCTTGTGATCTGAAGATCAATATTGTCACTTGAGCACTGTTGATCACAATAAGAAATGCCAAGGCCAACGGTAGAGTGGGGGGTGTGTCTCGGTTACTGTCCCTAGGCTGTGATAAGCTGTCCTGGCAAAAGCAGCTTAATGGAGAAAGGGTTTGTTTGGCTCACAGTTCTGCAGAGATGTTGTCCCTCGTGGTGATGAAGGCATGGTAGCAGGAGCAAGAGGCTGCCTGGTCACATGGCAGCCACACTCTGGAAGCAGAGACTAAACAACAAATAGGGCCAGCCAAACAAACAAGCAAACAAACAAAGCCAAAAGCTCCTTCATGCTCCCAGTGACTCGCCTCTTACCTCTTAAAGATTCTACAGCCTGCCCAGACCTCCCCACAGCTGAGGACCACATGTGTTCAAACGGAAGCCTTGAGGGCCCATTCCACACTCAAACTACCACAGGGAGTGTGTGTCCTCCCTGCTCTGTCTTCTTCCCTGTTTCTCTACTAATTCAGAATGTTTGCTTGGAGAATGGAGAAGGAAGTTGCCATGGAATGTCAGAGGTCAAAGATATTCCTTTTCCTCTGGGTAGCACTTGCTTTTCTTGTCTTGCAAGCCCATCTGTGGAGACACTTGAGCCTTTCTGAGTTATGGGTTAAGAGAGTTCCCTTTGTTTAATGTTTCGTGTATTCGTGTGGTCTGTGGGATATTGTTCCTAGTAGCCCAAAGGCATGTCCCCAGGATGGCAGCTCTTCTGCCTTCCCGTGAACCTGTAATACACAGATGTGATATTCTGTGACCGAGGCGTTGCTGGCAAGACAGTGTTCTTTTAGGCCAACATTAGCCAGGCAGAGTAGCTGTGCATCTCCAAAGCCCAGTCAGAGCAAAATGTCCCAGCACTGATGTTGAAATGTTCTAGAGAACTTCCTCCGATTTCTGGGCCACACCCTGAGACTCTCACATATGGCTTTCCTTCACTATTTCACAAGGTATTGGTTCCCCAGGATCCACTGTGGAGACCAAACCCCGAGGACACCCAAGTCCCTTATGTAAAAACAATGTAGCATTTACCTAAGCTTATGTAATCCTTTCATACACTTGTAGAAACCATTTTAAAATCCTCTTATCAGTGTTTTGCCTGCATTCTCTGTCGGTATACCATGTGTTTGTAGTGCCTGAGGAGGCCAGACGAAGTTCCTCTGAGCTGGAGTCAGACAATTGCCAACCATCATGTGGCTGCTGGGGACTGAACTCTGGTCCTTTGGAAGGGCAACCAATGCTCTTAACTCCTGAGCCATCTCTCCGGTCCCTTTTCGTATACTTTAAATCGCCTCTGGATTATTTATAAAGCCTAGCATACTGTGCGTGCAGTGTGAATAGTTACAACATCTGTAAATACATTATGCTGTCGTCTAGGAAAGAGCCGGTCAGATGGCTCAGCCAGTAAAGAAGGCACAGGCCATCAGCCTGACAACTAGAACACATGGAAAGGAGGGAAGAGGGAACCTACGTCACAGAGTTGTCCTCCAATCTCACTGGCACCTCTCCAATTACACACACATACAGTTGCACACCACACACACACACACACACACACATTACACACACACCAATAATTTTAGAAAGAGTCTGTACATACTCAGTATAGATGCAATTAAAAAATCGTTTTGGCCTGTGGTTGGTTGCATCTACAGATGGGGAGAGCCAGCTGTGCTTCATTGTGTGCCCCCTCCAAATGGAGGGACAAGGAGACCAGACTTCAGCGGAGTGGTCTCATGCTTGGGTCACTTACAGCTAGTCTCTGTCTTTGCCTCCAGGGCTGTGGTCGCGGAGCCCCACAAGCTGGGAGACTTGAGATAGCACTGAGACATGTTCTTCTGAAATGCAGTCCCAGAGCCAAAGTCCAAAAGAAAGGTGGATGGGCCCAGATCCTCAGGAAGAACTGGCTGAGGAAGTGCTTACTTTCTCTGAAGCACTCCTGGTGTGTGTGTGTGTGTGTGTGTGTGTGTGTGTGTGTGTGTGTGTGTTGATAATTGTGGTCTCAGCGCTGGAGCCCAGAACCCCATTTGTGCTTGACAAGTGCCCCCCACTGAGCTCCGTCCCCTGACCTGTTTTACTGTTTTATTTTGAGACATTGTCTCCAAGCTGGCCTTGAACCCACCGTGTAGCCCAGGCAGGCTTTCCTCCTGCAGTCCTTCCGCAGCCTCCTTCTGAGTAGCTGGGATTACAGGTCTGTGCCACCGCACCTAGCTTAAAAGATAAATACATGTTTTAAAGTGAGCTTGGTGGTAGGTGTTGTCTGGAAGCAGGGGACAGAGGTCAGAGCAGGGACACCAAAGGCTGGTAGTGTTCAGGATCAAAGCCAGCATCTGGATGTTTGATGTCGTGGGGTTAGGAGAACTCCAGGTGAGTGAGCCACAGACAGGCTTTCTGATTGTGTGAGGCGGCTTCGGGCAGACCTGGGAGGCCCAGCTAGATTTAGCACAAGTCGCGTGATGGGTGTGTACTCAGAGCAGGAGTGTGTGAACTCGGTGTGCACAGGTGTGCATTAAGTGTAGGAGTGGACATGGTTGGTGCAGGAGCAGTGTCAGTGAGCACAGAAGTGCATGTTCTGACGCCAGGCTGGTTTGCCCAATGCTACATGAAGACTGCTATTGTGAAGGACCAGGTCCTGCCCTGTGCCAAATGCTGGCATGAGTATCTGTGTTCCCTAGGAGACCTCCTCAGAGTCCCAGCACCCTCTCTTAGGGTCCTAGGCAAGACAGGCTCATGGAAAGGCAGAGTGGGCCACCACCAAACTTCACAGATGGGAAATTCAGGTTGCAGACTGAGGGGCACAGAACCCCACCCTCAAGCAAGCTCTCTTGAAATATCTAGTCCCCAACGCACAGGGAAAGAGGCTGCACGGAAGCAGAGAGGCTGGTGCCTCTGGTCCTTATTCGTGCTCTGAGAAGCCTTGATATGGGTGAGGTTTACAATCCATGCCCTGTGGTTACACTCCAGGTGTGTCTGTGCTCCTTGGCTACTTCCCCTTCCAGAAACCAAATGCTGCTCCTCCTTGGCACACGGCCTGCAACCTCTGCTGAGCCCTGAGCCCCAAGGCAAGTGTGCAAGCTTTGTAAGCCTGGGCATCAACTTGTCCCAAGTCAGCAAAGCAGACAGCTGTCAGCAGCACGGGGCTGGGGCCATGTGTCAAAGCTGAGGACTACAGCTCCCCAGCAGTGGAGGAACTATTGATGGGATCACAGAGCTGATCACGGAGCTCTTTCCTAGTTCCCCGGGCAGGAGTTCACGCTGCCTCTTCCGTTTAGTCTTCTAAAAGGCCCTTCTATGTTCAGGTCAGGGAGGCTTGTGAAAGTCTCTCTTCCCCAGCCTCCTAGGCATCCATCAGCCATGGATGGGTTGATAAAGGGTTATGGAATGTCTCTGGGCTTCATAAAAAAGCTGGAAGTTGATCAGGTTGAATGGGAGGATTTGGCTTCTTGCAGGGCATTGGGGGGCCCATGGGATGAGGGAATACTTTTGCGAACCAAGTCTTCCTCATTAGGTTGCTCATGCTGTTGCCCTTGAACCTGTGTGCCCAGCTTCTGGGCTTTCCTCACACCCACCAGGTACCAGTGTGCAGGTCGAGAGTCAGCTGGAGCCCACAGCTCCAGGTTGCCTGGCCCCTCCATCTGGACGTTCAGATGGGGCTGGTGTGAGGCTGTCTTGGCAAGTCGACAATTTATCTACTCGCCCTGAGACTTGAACAGCTATTCCCAGGTGAAAGTCCCCAGGCGACGTATTGCTCCCTACTGCCTCAGAATTTATGCCATAGCTCAGGGGGGCTTTCTGATAATAGTCCCATGATGCCCACTGTGTCCATTGCAGGGATGTCAGGAGGGCATTGCTCATTTCCCAGAGTCCTGAGAGGACTTTCCTGTCTGGTCTCTTTACCAAGAATAGCTGTGCAGCGGATCAACTGCCCCACTTTTGCCTAGAGTGGATGGTAATCATACAACGGCCCAGTTTTCCTGGGTGCACTGCCTACGAGTTGTCTTTGACCCACATTCGTACAAAAGGACCTTGGGGTGGGCCGTGCCTTATTCCTGAGGCTGTTTTGGTCCCCATTCTTGCACTGTCACGCTACTGTGGTTTTGTCTTGTTTTTGAAATGAGGATGTTGCCCCGGGTAGCCTCAAATTTATAATCCTTAAGCCTCTGCCTTCCACATACTGGGATTAAAGGCACATGTCACCCCACCTAACTCCCTCCTGACTTCTTAAACTAGGAAAACAACTGGGGAGTCTGGGTTTTAAAAAGAACCCAGGTGAACTAAGAATTCGGGAAGGGAAGAGATCCTGCTGGCTCTGGGGCGCTTGATCACAAGAATGTATGTTGTTTGTTTGTTTGCTTTATTCAATACAGAAAAGTCTCTTGGCTTATTCCTTGATTCCTTTTATAGTCTGTCTGAGTCGCAAAGTGGGAAGCCTGAGTCCCTCAGTGATGGATGGCCAAGGCTAGGTGGTGGTCTAACGGGGGCAGACACAGACTCCTGAAGCAGCA